TGGGTAATTCTGATAGGTCTGCCTTCATATGTTACTTGGCCTTTTTCCTTTGCAGCTGTTAGTATTCTTTCTTTATTCTGTATGCTTAGTGTTTTGATTATTATGTGCTGAGGAGACTTTTTTTTTTGTTCCAGTCTATTTTGTGTTCTGTAAGCTTCTTGTATCTTCCTATGCATATCTTTATTTAGGTTGGGAAAGTTTTCTTCTATGATTTTGTTGAGTATATTTTCTGTGCTTTTGAGCTGAGCTGCTTCTTCTATCCCTATTATACTTAGGTTTGGTTTTTTCATGGTATCTCATGTTTCCTGGATATTTTGTGTTAAGCTTTTATTAGATTTAATGTTTTCTTTGATCAGTGAGTCTATTTCCCCTATTGTGTCTTCAATGCTGAGATTCTATCTTCCATCTTGTATTCTGTTCTTTATGCTTCCATTTGTGGTTCCTGATCATTTTCCCATATTTTCCATTTCCAGAATTCCTTCAGTTTGTGTTTTCTTTATTGTCTCTATTTCAGTTTTCAAGTCTTGAATTGTTTTTTTCATCTGTTAGATTGCCTTTTCATGGTTTTCTTTAACGGATTTGTTGATTTATTTCATTTTTTGTTTGTTTGTTTGTCTTTTCCTCCATTTCTTTGAAAGAATTTTCCATTTCCTCTTTAAGGGCCTTGAACAGTCTCCTAAAGTTATTTTTTTTTAAGTCATGTTCTTCTGCCTTATCTGTATTTGGGTGTTCAAGACTTGCTGTTTTAGAGTCACTAGTTTTTGTTAGTGTCATGTTGCTCTTTGTGCTGTTGGGTGTGTTCTTACCATCTCTACACATCTTTTTCTCTGATTGATGTAGTTGGGGTCGTGTTTCTGGTGATCACTCTTCCAGGGGTCAGTGTCTCCAAGCTTCAGATGGTTGCTCCTTGTGGTGGAGTCAGGGTCATGGTTCCTGTCACCCTGAGATCACTTGGCATTCCTGGAGTTTGTTTGGCGTTCCCAGAGGTCTCTCTGCAATCCCAGAGGTCTGCTCCTATGGAGGTTGCTTTCTTGGGCCTGCTCCAGCAGAGGTCACTGTACTTGGGCCTGCTCTGATGAAGGCCATTAGCTTGGGCCTGCTCCAGTGGAGGCTGCTCACTCCAGCCTGGCCCCATGAAGGTCGCTGGCCTGGGCCTGGTCCCACAAAGGTTACTTGCTAGGGCCTGTTCCCAAGGAGGTCCCTGGTTCAGGCCTGCTCCCTCTCTCATTTCTGCTCCTATGGAGGTCGCTGGTTCCCATTACTGTTATGTAAAACTTATCTCTTGAACATCTTCCTCCTGTCCTTTGACTGGCATTTCCTAGGTGCCCCCATTCCCAGTAGTGTTAACCATCTTACTCCCTATTTCTATGGCTTTGACTTTCCAAATATTTCACACATAGGGGAGGTCATGCTGTTTTCACCTTCCTATACTTGGCGTCTACTAATCAAAATACTGGTTTTCAGGTTCATTCAAGATTGTTTCTTAAGTCGGAAGTTAGGTTCAACTGCAGCAGGGTAAATGGGGGGGGGCAATCCTACCTGAAAGCCACTGATGAGCTACATGGCCCTGGCCAAATCTTCACAGGCACAAGGGAATGGCTTGTTTTATGACTTCCCCCATTTATAAGCCCAAGTCTCTTAGTTAAGTTCAGTCTGCAGTCTACAGAAGCAGCCCCTCCCAGAGGATGAACCAGGCCTGAAAAACTACTATTCTTGTGGGCTATTTTCAGTTCCCCAGTGTACTGGCCAGCTCCTACCCAGGCTTAATTTGCACTGCTAATCTGTTATGTCTTTCTTGGTAATTTAGCACTTTCAGACAGTTATGGTTAGATTCTGTTTATTTTTCTAAACCTCATGAAAACCCCATAATACAGCAAGAGAGAGAGCAAGAGAGAAGAGGGATGGGAGGGGAGGGGAGCTTTTCTAGAAATATAAACTCAAGACTTAAATGCTCTTCCCCATCTGCAGGACAGCTGTTGTTGAGCCCCATCCAATCCCAAAGTTCCAGCATTCTGTTTCAAGGCTCTCTTTCTGGCTCCTACCATCACTCTTTGAGAGTATGTAGCCTTGAGATCAAGGCATGGAGAGCTGCCAGTTACAGCCACCTGACATGAATCCTCATTGTCTGTCCTTACCATGGGGCCTAGATGTGGGCCATTCCTTCTCTTTACCTTGGATAATTATCATGGGAAGTGAGAGGCAGAAGAGAACTCACTGGGTGACATATTAAGAGGAGTTGGGGCGTTCACGGGCAACCACTAACCCTATATTTTTGTTCAACCCTTTGATCCCTGGGTCCTTGGAAGACTTCCTTTTCTGTAGGAGATGGCAATGTGTCTCTTTGCCCAGCTCTAGATGGAGTGGTGAGAAAAAAACAGGTGTCAGTGAACGTCTGGTAGTTTAGAAAACTGCCCAAGGTTTGAGCAAGAAGGTGGAAGAAAAAGTCAACGTCTTGGCGCACCTGTGCCCTCATGTCTTTTGAGAAGAAGAAAGTGAGCCCGGAAGAAGCCTAAAAGATGTTCGAAGATGAAAGGTTAATTGTTGACATCCAATTCAACCTTTTAATCTTTCAGTGGGTGACACAGAAAACAAGATGGTATTTACCTTCTTGATAGCAGAGGACTACCTATCTTGGCTCTTTAATATATTTTAATTTTATTTCATTGTTAATTATGTGCATGTATGTGTATCTGTATGTGGGATTGTGCACATGAGTGCTGATGTCCTTGGAGACCATTGTCATCAGATCCTCTGGAACTGGAGTCACAGGTCATTGTGTGCTGTCTCTTGTGGTTACTGGTAATTGATCTTGGTCCTCTGCAAGAACAGTAAGCGTGTTTAACTGCTGAGCTATCTCTCTAGCCCTCAGATTCTTTATTTTTTTTCTACATTTAATGTTATTAACTCTTTCACACTCACCTTAAACTCATTAACTCAGGGGGAGCACCCATTACCTAGCTTGTTCTGGGAACTAAGGAAGCCATCTAAACAAACCCAGAGCCCAGTGTCATTTTGGCATTTTCCTAGTGACCTCAAGCTGTCCCTCACTTAAACAGGAAGGGTGAATGAAGACAGCAAAGCCACACCATGCCCTGGGATAGCCCCATGTGAAACTGGGCCCGAGTTGTTATCTGGGTGCCCAGTCTTGCCTTCCCAGTAGTCTGTAGTCTTAACAATTTACGTAGACTTTAGCAGAAGTTTTCAGAACTTGTGTGATGATCTGGGACTAGAAAATGAACACACATTTCACTCCTTTTATTACAACTTGGGTGTCCCAAATGGGGCCCATCAATTCCAAATCCCAGTCTAGGATTTTCTAATGGAGTGTGTAGTTAGAGGAAAATTTAATCCACATGTATCTGACTCACCAATCTCTAAATCATTTTGAAGTTTCATTCTGGGAATGAGTTGATATGTACTCTGTATTTTTTGTTTTGTTTTGTTTTAACATTTAGATGGCTGCATCAGCCAAGGCTTGATAAGTAACAACCCTGAGAGAGAAGAGGAAGTTTCAAGTACAGGCCTGACCTGCAGGCCCCTCCCTAGGCCTTCCTGGGGTCAGGAAGCCTGCCAGAACCTACACATGCAAATCTCTCCCTCCCCCAGCTTCTTTTGCTTTTACTCCTGGGAGACTGAGCCCTGATGAGGAAAATAACCCTGCCTAAAAGTTGGTGATACCACAGAATTTTGACATCTGTTCTTTATTGGTGTCTCAAGGAGATAGAGTGAGTCTAGCGTGTGATTCCTGTTTGTCACCCAAGGCTAGTCTATTGTTACACCAGAGCCTCTGCCTTCTTCCTGTTGCTCCCTCATACGAGGCACTCCCAAGATAGTGGTGCCCTAATAGTTCTCCAGAAAAATTTCAGCCTCTCGGCATTTTCTGGTGGAGCCAAATCTAAGGAATGCCATTTCAGGCAGAGGTAATACACTGTGCTATCCTACCTGGGGGCACCTGCTCTGCTTTTGTTTGTTCTGTTTTCTAAACCAGACTCCATTTCTTCTTAGCATATATATATATTGACGAGTTTTTCCAACTAAAAACCATCAAACTTCGTTTCCACTCCAGTCAGTTTACCTCTGGGCCAAGTTTCTTTCTCAGAGGATTAACCCGCATTGTCTCCTTTCATCTTGTAACCCTCACAGTGGTTTGGCATGGGTTGGCACCGCCAACAGCTGAAGTTACCAGGGAACAAATGGCTTAGCTTTCTTAGGTCTTCGTAGTAATCCATGGCATTCAATCCTGTTGGCTTTCCTTCTATCCTGATGGGATACCTTTTCTGGACTGTTTCCCCCTGCTACTTTGGAGGATTCTTTTCAGTCTTCTATGCCTCCCCATCTCTATTAGATCCACACACATTGGTTGGAATGTCTGATAGCTAACCCTGACTTTCCCACACTATTTTCTTTTGTCACATGACACATTTCCTTCTGTCTCAACTATACCCTCAAGTCTGTAAACCCAGACCTACACTCCTAGTCAGTGTCTCTCCTGACATCCAGCTTTAACAGGACTCATGGAGGCAGGACCCCTTCCTCTGTCTAAACTCACTCACATTAGCATATATGCTTCCATACATGTTCTGTGAAGATCTCATCTGAGAGAAGGGTATCAATATTTCCCCAGGCTCTCTCTACCCTTCCCCCAGTATTCAGTCATTCACCCTGTCTTGCTTGCTTGACTACTGAAGCATCCATCTGCTCTGCCCAGCCCTGACCCTGTCTCCTTCTTCAGCTTCTTGTTCTTGCCATAGCTCTTCTCTCTCGCCTGGTTTCCCTTTCCAGTCCATTCTATGTATAGCATCCAGAGTGATAGTTCTCTAACACAAAACTCTCCCCTTGTTCCCTTACTTAAAATAATTCAGTGGCTTCTCATCACTCCCAGGAAAGAGGAAAATTCTTCAACAACACCAGATAAAAATCCTTTCTGGCTCTGTCCCCATCTGATCTCTATGTGTGCTTTTAAAGAGTTATGGTTCTTTTTGTACATTTGTTTACATAAGATATAGAGTAAATACCTCACAATGACCATCTGCATGCTACGGAGCCAGTGAAGCCAGCAGCTGCTCGGTCCAAGAAGTCGGAAGCCTCAGAACAAGAGTGACCAGTGATACTGGCCAAGGCCAACGCTGGATGTTTAGAAGCCCTTGGAGAGTTGCTGATGGGGGTCCATGTTCAGACTGAAGGAGTTAGAGTCTGATTGACGCAGGAGGTGGCAGTGATAATACATGCATCCTCTCAAGAAGATTTGAGTTTGAATATGCTGATCGGCTTTCTCCTGTTAGTTTACTTTATCCTGGGACAGCCTATGGTTGGTGCCACCTTCCACATTCAGGATGGGTCCTCCCACGTACGGTCATCTCTGGAAGCATCTGCAGAGACACACAGGGAAGTGTGCTTTGATGATTTTGTTGAGCATCTTTCAAGACAGTCAAGTTGACAGTTGTTACAATTTGCCCGTAGCGCCATCAGTTTCTTCCTCCAAGCCTCCTATCTACGTTCAACCGCTCTGCAAGTTCATCATTTGACTCCGAGCTGGTTCTCATGGCTCTTTGTCTTTGTTTCCACTTCTTGACTGGTCTACCAGAAAAACTCCATTTTTTTTCCAGGCATTTCCTCCTGGAAGCAGTACCTGATTTCTCAAGACAAGCTAGCCGAAGCTCTCTCCCACCTCCCCTACTCTGCTCCATACTATGGAAATATCATAGTTTATTATAGCTGTTCATTTGAAGCAGAAACCTCTGCCCAACCTTAAGGTCTAAACTCCTTGAGAGTAGTGCTCATCATTTCAACTCCAACACAAAGCGTAGGGCGTGGCCTAGACTAGACAGTCCATTACTATTTCATTGGTAATAATGCCCAATTTTCATTGTACACTTCCCTTAAGGCCAGGCCAAATGCTAAGTACTTCAGCATCTATGATGCCATTTACTTCACACAACCACAATTACCCTATTAGCTAAGTGTCATTATTCCTATAATGAAGATGAGAAGACTGAGGCCGAGAGAGGGTAGGTAGCTTCCCTCCCCCACCCCACCCCCCCAAGATTTGGTTTCTCTGTGTAGCCCTGGCTGTCTTAGAGCTCACTCTGAACACCAGACTGGTTTCGAACTCACAGAGATCTACCTGCCTCTGCACTCTACTCCCGAGTGCTGGGAAGGTGCCCCATGGCACAGAAAGGCTGTAAATCATAAACTGTGAGGATGTTTAGCATTTTCAGTCACTTGCTCTGCTATGGCTTTGGAATAGGGGTTTCTAGGTGAAGGCTGCAGGGGCTGCCTTAGACGTTGTCTCCACAGTCCAGTCCATACAGTACTCCCATGGACCTTTACCCATCAACTCAGACCTGGAGACGGGATCTAGGTGAAGCGCCAGCATTCTCAGTTCAGCGGGTCTTCAGCTTCTCATCAAAGCAGCTCCTCAGATCTGCGACCCGGCTCCTGGCCGTGAATACTGTGTGAGCGATCCCTACCCAGGTAGAACTGTAATAAGCGGTACTCTCTCATGATTGTTTTTCTTTCCACACTTGGTTGACCAGCAGTGGATTGGATCTCCAGCCCCAGGGAGCAGGCCTGGTCTACGGATCAGTTCAGAGCTGAGCTGACTTCTGTGGACCCAGTGTCTTGGCATGGTGGCGTCTTGCGAGTGTACACCCTGATACTTGCTAACACCAAACGCAGCTCACATGCCGTGCAGCCGGAAGTGACAGAGAAGCAAAGCAACCTCAGCAGAGGTCCACAGCTCACTTAGGAAGAAGAGAGAAACTGAAGAGTTCAAGGTTAAAGAGCCCTACGTCTCGTCACCTCTCACACCTGTCCCATCCTTTGAATGACAGGCCAGATTTCCAACTCAGTGTCCGGCCTGCTTGGAGTACTATCTGTGTGGCCACTGTTAGATGTTTTTATCCTGGCAAAGGTCCAATGAAAGTAAAAACGACACTTCATTGACTAATAGAAAGATGGCACTCTGCTCTTATTTTTATATTAAAGATCACCTGTATTTGACTACAGTCCTGTCCTTTTTGGTCCCCAGGTTCCGCGTCCAAAGCTTCACCAACTTCAGATGGAAACTGTATTAGTACTGAATGTGAACATACTTTGTTTTTTTCTTGTCACTATTCCATAAATAATATAGTACAACAATTATTTATCTGGCATTTGCATCTCATTAGGTGATTAAAAGTAATTTAGAAATGATTTAAAGGGTATGGGAGGATGTGCATAGTTTGTATGCAAATGCCACTCCAATTTTCTTAAATGACTTAAGCACCTGCAGAGTTTGGGATCTGTCTGGTGCCTGGAACCACTCCCTTATGGGTGGTAAGGATAGACTATATTATATTAATATGTTATCCTTAATAAATAAGACTCGGACTGCAGAAATATGCAGAGGTCAGATTAATTCAGACCGTAAAACTATTTTAAATGGAAATGCCTCAGTTTTGCAAATTATTTTATTATAATGATTTTGCTACTTACAGAATTGTTTCAGCTTGGAAAATCTGTTTTTCTCCTTCAACAAAAGGGGTGTGTGAGCTCACTATGCCATACCTGTCAATCACTGTGAGGGTGACAGGGCCATGCTGGAGATATAATAATATGCATTATTTTACTGCCCTTGACAGTGACCACAAAAGATGGGCATTTTTTTTTCCACTTTGGAGACAGAAACAAGCAAATCACCAGAGCCACAACTCTTAACAGAAAGGCTCAGCACTGAAACCAGATATGGCTGGTGTCAAGGCTTGCACACCACTCTGCCCAGCACTGGCCTGTCTGGTCAGTAAACATTCCACTTGTCTTCCTCTGTGCTCTGGCCTTCAACACCGGATTAAACACCACCACGGCTCCACCTCAGTGATCCCTGTATCACTATACAATTGTGGGCTCAGCCTCCAGGGGCTCTGCCTTACCATGAACGCCTTTCTAGTTACCCCGTAGTGGAGGTTCTCAGTAGCTGGCATTCCCAGCTAACTTGTGGGTGGGAGGCTACTGGCCCTTAGTTGGTGAATTGGATGTCCCAAGGAGCCACCCCTTTCCACGGAGATGACAAAAGCAGATCCTGGGAAAGTCCCGATGCCAGTGGTGACTTGTTGAGAATGTCACTCCAGTGCTGAGTAGAAGACTTAGCTACCATCATTCAGGAATCTGCCACTTGCAGTCCATGGATGCTGAGAGAGGAACTCTGCTTTGGCCATACGGCTGCTAGTCGTTGTGGTTAGCCCACACCCATACACACACAAGTAGCACTCACTGGAGTTGGGAAAATATAGTAAACAATGAGAAGAGGAGGACATAAAGTTCAGAGGGTGTGGCGCACCAGGGGCCATGCGAGGGGGGTCATGGCGGATGTATATGATTAGAATACATTGCACGGATGTGTGGAGTTTTCACAGAATAAATAAAAACACTTTAAAGACCTTATTCAGCTTTTATTTGTGTGCATGTGCGTGCATGTGCGTGCATGTGTGCTTGTGTGAGGTGTGCAGGCGTGAGAATGGTTGTAAGCTGCCTCAGGTGAGGGTTGGGAACCGAACCTGGGTCCTCTGCAAGAGCGAGAAGTGCAATGAGCCATCTCTTCAGTCCTGAAAAAAAAATCCTATGTAAATATAAACATGCATCTTCTATATTGATGAATCACCTTCTCTTTCTCTGATCCCAGCCCCAAAGAGACACAGGTAGAGAAATGATCCAAAGGCCGGAAGGGAGGTTTTTAATTCCAGGCACTGTAGAGTTTGTCCTTTAAAAGTTGTTTTGGGAAAGCCGCCTTTCTGCCAGGATTTCTACTACTCGGACCAGTTGTGCATCATCTCAAGCCCCCTGATTTATGCAGTGTTCCAAAGGTCTTACTCTGGTACTCTCTTCAGAATGAATGGTTCTTGGAAGAGGGCTGTGTCATTCTGTAGGCCCATGGACTCCCTCTGGTAGCAAACCTGGGTCTGAGGCCTTATTCTGCACCTGAAGCGCCAGGTGGTCAAACCACCCTGGAGGAAAGTCACAGTCTCAGTCACAGCTGGGACTGGAGGGAAATGAAGGGCTGTGTGGGGGCAGGGAGCAGGCGTGGGTTCCAGCTAAGAACATGAGCAAGTGTGTCTGAGCGTGTGTGAGTGAGCGTGCAGGGCCAGTGTTTATTTATTCTGGGAGAGGTTGCTAAGTTGGAGGTGTTTGCCAACAGAGTGCAGTCTGAGTGCCTTTTGCTTACCCAGAGGAGTGCAGAGAGGGAGAGAGGAGCGTAAGCCGTGGTTGTCTTGGGGACAGCATGCATGACAGTTGCTGGGGGCCACTCTCGGTTTGATCTTGAGCTTCTGGATGGAGTCTCTGGCTCCCCCTCGTCACTTACCAACTGCTCTGCTCCTGGGATTCCTGTCACAGAGGGTGGAACTGCTTAGTCTCCGCAGGTGGCTGCCCTGTCTTCCCTTCTTGGGGACTGTCTGGCTGCTAAGTTTCTCTGGTTTCCACTCACCCAGAGCCTGGCAGCCAAGTTCCTCGGCCTCACTGGGCTTTCCATTCCCTAACTACAGACTAAAGTTATTTTAATGTTTCCCTGGCTACACAGTGTCAAGACAGAGCGTAGGCTGTAGGTCCATGACAGAGCCTTGCCTACCATTCCTCAGAGCCCAGGCTTAACCTTCAGTCCTGGAGGAAAGAAACAAAGAAAGAAAAAAGGTGACGGAAGCTAGATATTAGCTTCTCTGCATCCCACGGGACCTGCCAGTGCAGATCCTGCTTTCATCTGGGTCCCCTTCCACACTGGGCCCCAAAGCACTTCCACCCCTTGGCTCGGGCTCAGCCTTTCTAATTGGTGATCTGGTTTTGTTTTTTTTTTAAGACTTAACCCACCCCACGATCTTTGTAATTTGTCATTCAAGTTATAGATCTGCAGTATATTCCCTATTGCCAGGAGAGAGGAACAGAAGGAGGAAAAGAGAGAGAGAGAGAGAGAGAGAGAGAGAGAGAGAGAGAGAGAGAGAGAGAACAACCAGTAAGAGGCTCTCTTTCTCTTGTCTATAACCAGTTTCAGGCCAGGGACTGGGACAGGCTGAGTTTCAAAGTCAGTCCCTCTCAGCTGGGTGGGCCAGGGACTCCCCCAAAGGTCTCTACCTCCCTCCCCCTTTCCTAAGGCCCCAGCCACATGCCTGCAAGTCTCTGAGGGAGCACTGGCTCCCAGACACAGGCTGGCTGGCAGCCAAGGGTGGTGTTCTGGCTCCAGGATCAGCCAGATGGGGTGGCAGGAGGGCTCTGTTAATCCCCCAGGAGAAAGCTCCTTGGCACACAGAAAAAAAAAAAAAAAAAGAAGGCTGCCAGCACTGTGCTCCTACCCTGGAGTCATGGAACACCATACCCCAGAGTTCCGGGCAGGCTTTTTGCCTCTGCATTCTGCCTTACTCTTCGGGGAGCATGGGCTAGGGGCCCAGCTGGGCACATGGAGGTAGAGAAGGGAGACTGAGTTCCACTTCTTAGGCTAAGTCTCTTATGTTATCTTTTGTCTTTTCTTACTCCTTTTAGAACCAGGGCATTATGAAGCCAGGGCGGGGGTGGGAGCTGATGGGCATTTTGACCCCTACAGACTCCAGACTTCTCTAGCTTTGATTAGCCTGTAGATGTTTGGAGAAAGAGCTGGGGTCGCCGGGCTCCAGGCTACCAGTTCCATCTCCTCTCACCCCACCACGCCATCACCTACCTGCTCAAGGCACACACATGTGATACTCATACACACATACACAGCCAGCCTTCTGCCTCCGAGGCTGCCTCTTTGGGTGCCATATAGAACTAGATGGGAAAATGCTGGAAAAATTACCCCAAGGCCAAAGGGAATCTGTGGAAAAACCCGGAGGAGAGCGAAAGCAGATCTAGAGAAGGCAGCCAGCGAGGGAGGTGGTGCTCCGCCCACTAGACCTCCCTCTGGCCTCCTTGGAGCCAGGGATGGCTGAGGGGCTCAGACCCAGCCTTGGCCTGTGTTTTCCTCTGCATGCCTCTCTGGCATGTCACTTGCAAGGGGCTGCCAGCTCCCACTTCTCCAGGGGTCTTACTCTGATTCCAGGTCTGGTAAATAAGATTCCTGACCCCAAGCCAATCCCTCCCCATGTTTGGCTGTCACCAGTGTGTTAAGCATCAAGCATTGAGCCATTTCTTTTTTTTTTTCCTCATTTCTTTATTCCCCATACCTATCCCTGCCCGCCTTGCCCTCACCGTCATCCATCACTGTGTGGTAGCGAAGAAAGGCTTTGAAGTTGAAGTGAGCGGGGTGGATTTCTCTCTTCCTGACAGACAAAATAGAAGCAAATCTGCTCTGGGCTGCTAAGAGCTCTATGTTCCTAGGTGTACTGGTGCCATGAACATCACTAGGGCCTCAAGAGTCATTTAAGGGTCTCTTCTGTGCCTGGGTGTGAGCAGGCCGTTAAGGTGGTACTCTATTACCTAGAGAGGGTCAGCAACGAGGGGCCACAGACACAACAGCCAAACCGCGGCTCCTCAGGTCATGACTTGGTTTTGATATTCTGTAGGGAATGCTCCAAGACAGGCCAAGTCCTCTGCATCCAGGTGGATCGGTCCCAAACCCATTTTTATCACGGATCATTTCACAGAAAACTTTCCGCTTTGGGAACTCATGGCTGAAGCCGGTTGTTTAGATCGGAAAATCTGGGTGTAATAGCATTAGCGAGCCTAGTCTCCTTACACGAACCCTTTGCCTGCAGCCTCTCCCTGCTCCCTTGGCCTGTCCGCTCCTCTCTGCCTGAGTCACGACAGCAATCAACAAGTTGGACGCACAGTCTTGTGATGTGCCAAGTGCTCCCACGTGCGCTGTGGCATTTACTCCTCTTAACAGCTTCGCCAGACCTGTAATTGTTCACTCCACCCATCAGAGGCCGGACGGAGGCCTCTGGAGGCCACAGGGCCCGATCAGGCAGCCGGGCACGGGGACCTCTAACTTGAGATCTTACATGCTTCCCATGGCGTCAGCCAGGAGGATTCTAAGCACTCCGCTTGAAGGAACAGGCTCCTAAACGGGCTTTCTGTGGTGACCGCAATCATCCCATATCCTTGAGGTGACTTCTGGGAATCACCGTTCTTTCCCGAGACTCTTTCCACGTCTCAGGTGCAAGGAGTCACCTCTGTGGGTGCAGGCCAGGTCAAAGGTTCTCCCCGTTTGCCTCGTTTCAGCTGCCCGAGAGCCCAGATCTCCCTTTCTCCGGCTTCTGCTTCCCCACAGTGGATATTTATGCCCTTGCGAGGGGCATGGGGACAGAAGGTACCTTTGTGGAGGCACCAGCACCCCCACGAGGCCTCACTGGAGTTCTGGCTTCTGCTGTGGATCCTGAAGGCCCAAGTGAAGTTTTCTGGTCCCCTGTTCCCCTCTGGCTATATGACTTCAATCAGGAATCCAGGCGCCTCATGGCCTCTGTGCTGTGGACTGAAGCATCTAGGCATCCGAATCTGGACCGAGTGACACGTCAAACGACAAACAGAATATACACCTCCATATCCTGACCTTGGGATCCCAAAGGCTTTGTCCTGTGGCCTTAGAACTCCCCAGCCTCAACAATTCAGAGAAGGTCCTTGTATGACAGCCGATTTTATTCCAAAAAATGTGCTGGATACATGGGAGGGGGTAGGGTAGGGGAAGTTTATCCAAAACACATATTATTTCCACTATTCTAGTTATCTTGGATATTTCCTGCATGTTTGTCACTATGGCAACTGACTCAGCACGAAACCCTGTTTGCTGGGCCCTGGGGTCCAGCTTGGTGGCCATGTGGAGTCAATTTGGGCCTCTCGATGCCTTTTGGTCTCTGTGTCTGTCTTCCCGGGCTAAGGCCTTTCTGTCTCTCCTTTTTCTGTCTTTACTCTGTCTTTCCCCAGCCTTTCTCTGGCCAGGTCTCTCCTTTTTCTTCCTTCAGAAAATAGCTGCTTCCGTGTGATGTAGTGTCGTGGGTAGAGACATCAACTTACTCTGTCCACCTCAAACCCTCCCTTGACTGAGGCTTTGTTTAAGTCTACCTCAGGATTCATGAAGATTGCCTGTGGAGGAAGGTCTTTGTTCAGCTAGCCATGCTACCTCAGGGAGAGGGACTAAAGCCTCATGGGAAAAGCGGGCTTGGGATTTGGGTAAACCCATCACGAGGGTTTGGACACTTCATCCAACTTTCCTGTTGGTGGCTGGGGACTTTCCTCTCAGTGACTTCAGGAAGGTCAAGGAAGGCTCAGACTCAGGGCAGTGAAGAAGGTGGTACCGGCCCTGGAGGGCTCAGATCTGTCCCAGGGACCCCCATCCTTCTCAGCCCTGTCTCAATAGGCATTGGGGTGTGGCAGTCCATGTCAGACAGCATTGTCCCACCGTGAAGCACCAGGCAACAGGGAAGGTGTTGAGAATAACAGCGTGTGAGGGAGCTGGGCCAGCCGTCTGGAGAAGGCACTCTGCGCAGACAGAATGTAAACAGGCCGCTTCGTGGGAGGTGAGGATGGCTGCTGGCCATCTCTACTCCAGGTCTTGCCTCTCTCCTTGTCTCAAGTCAGTCCTGGACGGCTCTTGCCAGTCACATCCTACCAAGTTTCTGGCATCGTCTTAGCCCATCCTTCCAGCTTCCTCAGTTGTTCTAATCAGCCTTATCCTAACTCCCTGAACAAGGTAGGCCTGGGCATTGTGAGGAGCCCAGATTACCAGGGGGGCTGGTAACCTGCAGAGAGAAGCATTGAAAAAAGAGTGGGATGTAGCATGATTAATAAAAACCCAGAGACAGATATTGGGGTTCAACCTAAAGGTCAGAAAAGCAAAACATCCAGCCACTAGCTCTTACCTCTACTCAGTCTGAAATGGTGATCCTGCCTCCAGGAATCTCAGAATGAGACTGAGCTGAGAGCTGTCTCCTTCCATTTTATGCTTCTTTCTAGTGCTGGGATTAAAAACATGCACCACTACCGCCTGGTTTCTATGGCAAACTAGTGTGGCTACTGGGATTAAAGGTGTGTGCCACCACTGCTTAGTCTGTAAGAATGACCAGTGGGGCTGTTTTACTCTCTGATCTTCAGGCAATCTTTTTTTATTTACACAAGTGAAGGGGCTGGAGAGATGGCTCAGTGGTTAAGAGTATTATCTGCTCTTCCAAAGGTCCTGAGTTCAATTCCCAGCAACCACATGGTGGCTCACAACCATCTGTAATGAGGTCTGGTGCCCTCTCCTGGCCTGCAGGCATACACACAGACAGAACATTGTATACATAATAAATAAATAAATATTTAAAAAAACACACAAGTGAAATAACTACAGTGGGGAGATAAAGGAAATAGTGCCTAGAACTCACATCAGGGCACAAACTGGTGTGGGACAATTCTGTATATGTCAATTATGTTTTAAATAAACACCGATTGGTCAGTAGCCAGACAGGAAGTATAGGTGGGACAACCAGACAGGAAGTAGAGGCGAGTCAAAGAGAACAGGAAAATTCTGGGAAGGAAAAAGCCCATTCCCACCCAGTCCTGTCCAGACACTGAAGAAGGAAGATGTGACCAGTCCCGCTGAAAAAGGTACCAAGCCATGTGGCTAACATATACTAGAATAATGGGCTAATATAAGTTATAAAAGTTAATAAGAAGCCCGAGCTAATGGGCCAATCAGTTTATAACTATGTAGACCTCTGTGTGATTTTCTTTGGGGCTAAATGGTTGTGGGACCTAGTGGGAGGACAGAAACCAGGTAGGACAGAAACCTCAGTCAACAACGAACTGTCCTCCTCAGCTCCTGTAATCCCAGTTTAAGGCACGCGGGGCCTGGGGCGTCAAGTGAAAAGCTGGCCTAGGCAGCCCTGCATGTAACACTGAGAACAGTGTTCTATGGTCCCCTGGTCAACATATTGATCTGCATTTTGAGCCAGTGTCTTCTCAAGAACGTCCAATCTAATGGATAGAACAGATCAACAAGGTACTTAGGAAGGGCAGCAGCAGCGTGGGGATGGGGTCAGATAATAGAATACAGAGACCCTAGGGGCTCTGGGGACCATAGGGAGCAGGAGAAGGAACTGTTGAGAATTAGGTGCGATATGGTGGTGATCCAGGCATACTGGAAGGCGTCATAGCCCAGATGTCTCTGTGTCTTTAAGATTCCTATGCCGAGAACCTCATCACCAATGTGATAGTGCTAAGAGGTAGGCCTCTGGAATGTGACTATGATGGCGGAACTCTCTTGAATAGGATTCATGTCTTTATGGCAAAGGCCCACACTAAATGTGGTAGTAAACGGAGCTAATCCTATACTTGGAATGTAGAGGCCGGCAGATCAGTGATTCGAGTTAGCCTCTGGTGACACTGTGAGCTCAAAACTAGCATAGGAACCTTGTCCCCCAATTTTCAAAGAAGATATATTTTTTTTTTATTTTGTGTGCATTAGTGTTGTGCCTGCATGTATGTCTGTGTGAGAGTGCGAGATCCCTTGGAACTGGAGTTACAGACAGTTGTGAGCTGTCATGCTGGGTACTGGGAATCGAGCCCAGGACTTCTGGAAGAACAGTTAGTGCTCTTCACTGCTGAGACACCGCTCCAGCCCTTGTCCCCAAACTTTAGAAAAATGAAAATGAAAAATAAATAAATGGACTAACCCCAGTGTGGGGATGCAGAAACAGGTGCATCCCCGAGGCTTGCTGGCCTAATGGGTGAGCTTCAGAAAGACTCTGTTTCAAAGGGAATGAGAGTGTCCCTAAGGATGATACTCATGTGCACACGTCTTTGTGGGCACACACACATAGTCAGAATAAACAAACAAACAAATTAATCAGTTAATAAGAGGCTGCCAAT